GCCCCTGAGGTCCTCTGCTTCAAAGGCTGAAGTCTCTAAATTCTCTCTTCCAGAAGAAAGCCCACTGAGGTCATCCCCTCCTCCAGAAACAGAGGTTTCTAGACTTTCTCCGGAAGGAAGCCTACTTAAATCCTCTATTCCAGAGGCAGAAGTCTCTAGATCCTCTCCTTCAGAAGGAAGCCCACTGACAGTGTCTGCTCCAGAGGCAGAGGTCTCTAGACCTTCTCTTCCAGTAGGAAGCACACTTATATCCTCTACTCCAGAGGCTGAAGTCTGTAGATCTTCTCCTGAAGAAAGTCCACTGAGGTCACCTACTTCAGAGGTAGAAGTTTCTAGACCTCCTCCAGAAGGAAGTCCACTGGCTTCTCCAGAGGCAGAAGTTTCTAGGCCTTCTCCTTTAGAAGGAAGCCCACTGACCTCCCCTTCTCCAGAGGCAGAAGTCTCTAGACCTCCTCTAGGAGAAAGTCCACTGACTTCCTCTGTTCCAGAGGCAGAAATCTCTAGACCTTCTTCTCCAGAAGGAATTCCACTGACTTCCCCTTCTCCAGAGGTAGAAGCTTCTAGACTTTCTCCTCTAGAAGGAAGGCCACTGACTTCCCCTACTCCAGAGGCAGAAGTTTCTACACCTTCTCCTCCTGAAGGAAGTTCACTCATTTCCCCTTCTCCAGAGGCAGAAGTCTCTAAACCTTCTCCAGAAGGAAACTCACTGACTTCCCCTACTCCAGAGGCAGAAGTCTCTAGATCTTCTCCTCCAGAAGGAAGGCCACTGACTTCCCCTATTCCAGAGGCAGAAGTCTCTAGACCTTCTCCTGTATGTTTTTATATTCTGTTTAGGTACCCTGAGACTTTATTTTACAGATGAGGCTCAGAGACTTGCCTGAGGCCGCACAGCTAATCTGTGGTGGATCTATGCTTGAGACCTGAAAGCTACTTCACAACAGCTGCCCACAGTCTGGCCCAATGAGTTAAAGGGAAGAAATCTCCACAATACCTGTCATGGATGTCTCTGCTTCTCCGGATCCTTCTGAAGAAGTAGGAACAGCTGCATCTGTTGGGAAGGTGGCTGTTTCGGCCGTGTGGGTCTCTTCTCCCGAGTACAAAGGGCTTGAGGACTTGACTTCTAGATGCACCTCTGCAGGGTGCTGGGTCCACTGGGACTCAGGGGCGCTGGTGCTGATGGGGACATCCAGACCTGAGCTGTGACCAGACAGTTCTCCGCTGGTTTCAGTCCTGTCTCCGGAAGCCATGGGAGTGGCCCAAGGGGTGCCCGAGGCCTCTACACCCAGCTGGGAGGTGGTGATTGACTTTCCATTCCCTTCTGGGGCAGCTAACCCCTCCTGGGGGCCTCCCAGAAAGGTCCAGGGGCTGCTGCTCACGCCCAGGCCTGAGGCTTGATCAAGATCTGCTTCATGGGGGGCAGAAGTGGTTTCACTTGAATCAGGGGACCCAGACGCCTCTCCACTGGTCTCAGGGGCAGTAGATGCCTTCACTCCAGCCTTAGGATAGGCAGCCGACTCACTGCTACCTTCTGGAACTGCCAGCACCTCTTCGCCAGAGCCTGAGAATGTTGCTGTTGTTCCACCAATGTCCCCAGACCCAGAGGGTTCCCCACTGGCCTCGGAAAGCCGGGGTGTGTATGTCACAGGGGGTCTTTGTCCAAGTTCCTGGGAAATAGTTGCTTCTGTCACACCCTCCACTAACTCAGAAGTGATTAACGTAACTTCTGGAAGTCCTGAGGTCTCTCCACTGCTGCTGGTAACTGAAGAGGATTCTCCACTTATGTCAGCAGTGCTGGAAAAGTCCCCACTAAAGTATGGAGTACTCAATGGCTCCCCGCTGGGTTCTACCAGCCCAGATTGCTGCCCACTTTGGTCCAAAAATCCAGAATGGTCTCCAGATACTTCTGGTGCTCCAGAAGGAGTACCACTAAGTTCCAAAACACCTGAAGGGCCCTCTCCAGTTTCTTGGGCTGTTGGGTGCTGGGTTACAGATTCCACAAAGGTTCTGTCTACAAGGGAGACAGTGGGGACCCCAGATGGAAGTCCACTGCCATCGTATGCTCCCGAGGGCAGACTGCTCCCAGCCTCAGCTCCAGAGAATTCTCCACTGACTTCAGCTACCCCACTTGGTAGGCCACTGAGCTCTGGAGCTGGGGAGGTAAACCCACTGGTGTCGGCTGTTCCAGAAGACTGTCCACTGATGTCCACTTCCCCAGATGTGCCTGACAGATCCATCTCCTTGGGAGGGAAGCCACTGAATTCCACAGACCCTAGACCCTCTTCTTCTTTAAATGCAGTAGGGGTCACTTCCATCAAACTGGTGTCCACAAATGTAATGCCAGAAGATTCCCCACTGCCACTTATGGTACCAGAAACCAGGTCAAGGATTCTAGGTGTTGTCCCGCTGACCTCTGGCAACCCTGATGGCTGTCCACTGAGATCAGGTCCTGTGGATGTTTCTCCACTCAGGTCTGTTATGCCAAATCGTTGGCCACTGCTGAGAAGAACTCCAGATGCTTCTCCACTGATGTCTGGTTGCCCAGAGGGTAGTTCACTGAGCTCAGTCACTCCAGATGCCTCCCCACTGGAGTAAGGAAACCCTGAAGGCTGCCCACTGGCCTCAGAAATCCCAGATGTTCCCTCACTGATATCAGGAAACCCAGATGGCTGTCCACTAACATCAAAGAATCCAGATGTTTTCCCACTGATCTCAAGAGATCCAGATGCTTGGCCACTGACTTCAGTTCCTGAAGGGAGCCCACTTGTCCCCTCACTAATATCCAGCTCGCCAAAAGGCAACCCAGATACTTCTCCTGTGCCACTGATGTCAATGGTTCCTCTCCCTTCCAGTTCACTTGCACTGGTGGCTGTGACTACTTCCACCAATGTAGTGTCCACTAGGGAGATGGTTGGGAGCCCAGATGGAAGCCCACTGAAGTCAGGAAGGCCAGAGGATGGCGTACTTCCAAAGTCCACTCCAGAATACTCACCACTAAATCCAGAGGGAAGACCACTTGTGTCTGGAGCTTGTCCACTCCCTACGGTTTCAGAAGGCAGTTGGCCAAAGGCCAACTCTCCAGAAGCAGATCCTACCAAGTCCTCTCTTCCAGAAGGCATGCCCCTGAGGTCCTCTGCTTCAAAGGCTGAAGTCTCTAAATTCTCTCTTCCAGAAGAAAGCCCACTGAGGTCATCCCCTCCTCCAGAAACAGAGGTTTCTAGACTTTCTCCGGAAGGAAGCCTACTTAAATCCTCTATTCCAGAGGCAGAAGTCTCTAGATCCTCTCCTTCAGAAGGAAGCCCACTGACAGTGTCTGCTCCAGAGGCAGAGGTCTCTAGACCTTCTCTTCCAGTAGGAAGCACACTTATATCCTCTACTCCAGAGGCTGAAGTCTGTAGATCTTCTCCTGAAGAAAGTCCACTGAGGTCACCTACTTCAGAGGTAGAAGTTTCTAGACCTCCTCCAGAAGGAAGTCCACTGGCTTCTCCAGAGGCAGAAGTTTCTAGGCCTTCTCCTTTAGAAGGAAGCCCACTGACCTCCCCTTCTCCAGAGGCAGAAGTCTCTAGACCTCCTCTAGGAGAAAGTCCACTGACTTCCTCTGTTCCAGAGGCAGAAATCTCTAGACCTTCTTCTCCAGAAGGAATTCCACTGACTTCCCCTTCTCCAGAGGTAGAAGCTTCTAGACTTTCTCCTCTAGAAGGAAGGCCACTGACTTCCCCTACTCCAGAGGCAGAAGTTTCTACACCTTCTCCTCCTGAAGGAAGTTCACTCATTTCCCCTTCTCCAGAGGCAGAAGTCTCTAAACCTTCTCCAGAAGGAAACTCACTGACTTCCCCTACTCCAGAGGCAGAAGTCTCTAGATCTTCTCCTCCAGAAGGAAGGCCACTGACTTCCCCTATTCCAGAGGCAGAAGTCTCTACACCTTCTCCTCTAGAAGGAAGGCCACTGACTTCCCCTGTTTCAGAGGTAGAAGTCTCTACACCTTCTCCTCCAGAAGGAAGCCCACTGACTTCCCCTCCTCCAGAAGCAGAAGATTCTAGGGCTTCTCCTCCTGAAAGAAGCCCACTGACTTCCCCTATTCCAGAGGCAGAAGTCTCTACAACTCCTCCTGAAGCAAGTCCACTCATTTCCCCTTCTCCAGAGGCAGAAGTCTCTGGAGCTTCCTTTCCAGAAGGAAGCCTGCTGAGGTCCCATGCCCCAGAAACAGAGCCTTCTAGGTCCTCAGCTCCAGAGGGCAGCCCAGCTACTGTAGGAGTGCCGAACCACTCAATTCTGTCTCCATGTCCTGAGGGCAGGCCTGAGTCCACTGTTGAGGTGAGACCACTGGAGTCAAGATCTCCAGAGGGCAGTCCACTTGCAGTGGTGCCTGGAGCTTCTCCACTGCCTGTGAAGTCACCACTGACATCAGGGGCCTCAGATACCTCCCAGGAGACTGGCAGCTCGGTGGTACTGGGCACTGCTGAAGAAGGTGTATATGGCTCCTCTGAGGTGGAAGGCGCTTCCCAGGCGGAGGGCACTGCAGTTGTCCCAGGGCCCTCTGTGCTTTCCTCTGCTGCTGTGCTGGTGGGAGGCCATGTGGATGGGACCCCTGCAGGAAGGGAGTAAGCCAGGTGAGGGGTGGGTGGAATGACTCCACTCCAGTGCAAGCCTATGCATGGACACTGAACTCAGTCCTTCCCTGGGGAAACCTTTTTCCCAAAAGTACAGTTTTGTTCAGATGTTTTACAATGGAATTGCTTAAGTATCTTGAGGAAGAAAGGAAGAAAGAGTGAAGGAAAGTTTTTCTTTTCTTTTTTAAAGACAGGGTCTCTGGTTCAGGCTAGCTGTGAACTCAGTCTAGTCTCGCACAGGTTGGTGTCGAACTTGCAGCCATCTTTCTGCCTCAGCCTCCTGAGAGCTGAGATAACAGGCATGTGCCAACAGGCCCAACTAGGAAGGAAGGACGGAAGGAAGGAAGGACGGAAGGAAGGAAGGAAGGAAGGAAGGAAGGAAGGAAGGAAGGAAGGAAGGAGAAGGCAGGGGACCAGGAAGCTCCCACCAGTCCCTTCAGGGCTATAGACTATCCAGGTTGTGCCTTGTGAGGCAACACGGAACAATACTCACGCAGCACACTGGATGTGCCACTCGTGACAACTGCAGCCCTCTTCAAGTCATTATCATTATCATCTCCTGCATCTAAATGAGTGGCTTCAAAGCCTGGACCTTACCTACTTAGAACAAACTTAGCAAAGCACAGGGTCTACGGTACAATCCCCCAGCACCACATGCCAGCCAGCCCCGCCCCCTGGTGGGCTGAGCTGGCCACACACACAACACACACACACACACACACACACACACACACACAATAAAATTAAAAAATAAATAAATAAACTAAAAAAAAAAAAGCCTGGGCCTTGGACCAGCAGCCCCTGGGAGGTCAATGGAGATGAAAATGGCCAACCCCTGCCTCAACCTTGCTGACCCAGAGGCTCAGCTCCTTTATACTTGCTGGAGGCTGGGACCTGGCCACTTTCGTTGGTGCTGTTTCTTTCATAATTTCTTTTCTTTTTTCTTTTTCTTTTCATTGTAGGAAACTGAACCCAGGGCCTTTGCACTGAGTGCCCCACACTGATCTGATCCCCACTCCCTTTCTTTCTTATTTAGAGGAAGAATTTTGCTAAGTTGCAAAATTTCCCTGGGCTAAACTTGAAATCCTCCTGACTCAGCCTGCCTGGCGCTGGGTGTCCAGGCTTATCCCCCCACCCGCCCCCAGCTTCCGGTGGTGCTCTCTGTAAACATGCATTTACTTTTTCAGTCCTGAGAGCCTTATCATGGAGGAGGCAGAAACTGAGAAAAAAGGAAAAGCCTCACTATGCTAAATAATCATGGTCATTTTGTTTTTCTTTTTATTTGGTTTCCTTTGGCATCTAGAAAACAACTAGCTGGGTTTGGAGCCTTGCACGCACTTTGGGGCTTATTTCCCAGTTACACTGGAGTGCGGGAGAGGTGGGCAGGCTCCCGACCCCCTCCAAGACTGTTGCAGGGCACGGGGTGAGGGGGCTGTTTAGTGGTACACAGAGAAGCGTGGCTTTGCATTTTAAAATACATAGAAGAAACAGGCTATCATGGCCATTTACAGACATGGTCTGACGGTTCTCTGTTAAATCCATTTAAATGATTTTTAAGAAAAAAAGTACTTGAAATAAAAAGTCCCAGTGTGAACCATAGCACAGATGGCCCCGGATGTGGCCGAAACTAGCAAGGTGGTAGGAGCTGAGCTTAAACAGTGTGCTAGGGGACTGGGCCACTGGGCAGCTCCCCCCAAGAGGTGGCTAGAGTCCTGAGCCACACCTCAGCCTCTTCCAGGCTGACAGGACTCAGCTGCTCTTGCCCTGGGGAAGGGAGAGGAAAGGGCCACGGGCGGGTGTAGCTGCTGGGCGAGGTCTTGGGGCCGGAATCTCACCTGTTCTATGGGTGCCTCCTTCCTTGGCACAGAAAGGGAGGCTTTGTAGCCTTAGGACCTAGAGCACTGGCCGGCGCTGCTCAATGGCCTGGGAGTCATGAGGAGAATGAATGGCTGGATAGATTGGTGTGAAGCCCCGAGACTCCTTCCCATGCATATGCACTGTCTCTAGCTGCTGATGCTAGCAGGCACACACACACTACTAGTACATTGCTCTGATTCAGTGCTACCCAAGCCAGGAGCCATAGATATTAGCAATACCCCATGGAGGGGCTTTCAGAGGCTCTGTGGTAGGGCTTGTTTGGGACCTGCTGCAAATACCTGGCACATTGGCCTACAAGGCCCTGAGAATATCCACGGTGAGGAAAGCTGTAGATCCTCTGTTTAAACACCATTTCCCAAACCTCAGTGGCCACAAAACACTTCTGACAAGGTTTAGGGACTATGGCTTTCATCCCATGAAGTCCTTTCTGATTTAATCACGATGTTTAGGGTTTAGGAAGGTCTGGCTAGGCCTGTACCAGTGGAAGGTCATGGGAGGAGAGAAAGGCAGGGAGAAAGGTTCAGACTTCACCAATGACCCTGTCCCTGGTTCTTGCCCCTCTGGAAATCCTCCCAGAGGGAAGGGTGTCTGTGTAGCAGGACAGTGTGACCGAGGGCTCAGCTTGGCCCAGGGCTGGGGTCTGTGTGTGCAGGAGAAATAAAAGAAAGGGAACAGAGAGTGGGTGTGTGTTTTGTGAACAAGCCCGGGGGCAGGTCCTAGAGGGTAGCTGACATGGTCAAAGTTGTTCCAGCAGCACATCAGGCCAGTGTCAGGGCTGGAGACACAGCTCAGGTCCCAGGGAGAGAAACCGCCCCCCTGCGCACACCACAGGCAGACAGAGGTCTGTGGTTTCAGGGTGTGTCCTGGAGCCCCACCACACTGACCTGGCAGAGGGGAGGTGCCCATTGCAGTATAGGCCGGTTTCCATTCTGTCTGGCTTTCTGGCTCAGTAGTGAACTCTGGGACTGCAGTTGTCTCCTCCCCCAAGGGAATAACAGCTACGCCAGGCACTGCATGGGTGACGATCCAGTCCTCCAGGCCTGCAAGGGGTGTGGCTGTGCCACCCTCCTCTTCTCCTGGAGAGGGCGCCACGGGAACACCTAAAGAGGATGTGTTGGTGAGGAGACCTGGAAAGGAGCCACGGCCGCTGCGGTGGGCCAGGCTGTGGAAGAGCCTTCTGGCCACCCCAGCCGCCTGCAGTTCCATGAGATGGCTCTCTCATAAGCAGCCAAGTCAGATAGACATATCATAGGTAGTCAGACAGGGCGAGGTCCTCAAAGGAGCCAGCGTGGACAATGAGATACCTTGCAACTGTGGGAGACAGGCACTTCCACTGTGGGCCAGACCTGAAGCCAAAAGGCGAGACAAACACACCCACATGCCTTCCTAGAGATGGACACGAAGGACTGATATTCTAAATAGGTATCACGCACCTTGAAAGAGGCAGGAAGAGGTACTAACTCAACCCCTTGCAGGAAGAGCCCCTGTTCCGTATTCATGCCCACTTGCTGCGTGACTCCCTTACCCATTTGATCCTCATTTAATCAATTTTACCTGAGCCATCATGCTTGCAATCCTATTGGTTGTCCAACCTTGTGAGTTCCCATGTTTGAATCTACCTCATCTTGTGGACTTGCTCTATAAAAATCCCTAGAAAAAGGCAGGTTCCTTGGGAACCCACTCTGGGCCCCTTCTGTCCCTCTCTTGGTCAGAAGCTTTCTTTCCCCCAATAAATATATTCTGCTCTTAACCTCCATTGTCATTATTCCCGTTTCACTAAGAGGAAGCTGAGGCATGGTGCTATCTTGATTGCCCAGGGCCAGTGACTTAGGGGCTTTTTAGGGGTCTTTTCTTTTTTGGATACCAGAAACCAAACTCAGGGTCTTGTGCTTGCCAGGCAGGCCCTGCACCATTGAGCTACATCCTCTGCCCAGGGCCAGTGACTCACAAGTGGCAGAGCTAATCTTCAATTCAAGCATCTTGTGTGACAGCCCTATTCTCAGCTACTGTAGAATACAATCTACCTTGGGGACAGGGATTACATTCAGAGTGTGCCAGGAACAAAAGCAGGAGTGTGTTTGGAAGGGCGAAGGCAGGATTCATTGATGGGATGAGTGTTCTGGCTTGGGGTGTAGGGGTACAGAAGACCAGGGGAGATCGGAAAGGAAAAGGAACTCCTCTGCAGGATCATTCACGAAGCTGAGTCCACTGAGTGTCGGGGTGGGGCTGGGGGTTCATGGCAGGGAATTTACTGGAAGGCTGACTAATCAGGTTCTGTTGCCCAGGGCACGTGTAGGCTTCATCAAATCCCCTACGGGGAGGATTCTTCAGGTTGATTGATTGGGGCGGAACTCTGAAGGAGTTTAAAAGGTGACCCTGGAAGTTTGGGAAACTTGGGAGCTGTCGGGGTTTTTATTTCCCTTAAAAGTATTTGGAAATGATCATAGAATCACAGGAAGTTACAACGACACTCAGCTTTGATCTATCATACGGAAAATATGGCCCACATCATTCTACACCTACATTCTGGCCAGTGCGCACAGGCCCTACGGTGAGGTTGCGGGAACTCAGCCAATCAGAGCCCAGCAACGCCTTAGCCCCGTCCACCCCATGGCGGTGCTTGATGACAGCACTCTCAGATGTGTAAGGGGTAATGATGGGTGGCACATCAAGAGTGCCATAGCATAGGTGAATTAAATCAGGAATTACTGTTGTTGAGAAAATACTATCTTGGTTAAGCTCATCACAAAAATATTTACCAGCAGGACAGAATTTGACATGGCTGAACAAATTAAAACACTTTGAATGTTTTATCTCAGTTCATATCTGTCTGCAACTCTTTTTGAAGCTGGAACTATTTTTAGCATCATTTACAGGTGAAGCAGAGGAGCAGAAAGGTTCACTTGCCCTGCTTCACTTAGCTGTTAAGTACTGGAGGCATAATTCTAACCTGAGGCAGTCTGATTTTAGAATGAGGTTCTTACTCCTCTCTGTCTCTGAGAACCTTAGAAAGATGAGCTTGCTTTAGGGTCAAAGCCTGAGATCAAGCTAGCTCCTGTCGCCCTGCTGGTCTTCCTTGTACTGCTGCCTGGTGAGGGCAGCCAGGAGGCCAGGAGGGGGCACCCTGGGAAGGTACCCCAGGTGGAAGGGGTGTTGGAGGGGAGGCAGAACGTACCTCGGAAGCAGAAGGCGTGGTGGCGGGATAGTGGGTCCGGGAGGCCGGTCTGGTTGGGATAGAGGTAGACAGTCCTCACGCCTGGCTTGTCCCCGCCACAGGCTGGCCTCGGGGTGACAATGGGGTAGCGGAGACTGCCATCTGCCAGCCAGCCAGCGTAGCACTTGTCCAGTCCACGCACCCAGGCTGCATAGAGCTGGCCAGTGGAGGCCAGCGAGGCATTTTGGGATTCACAGAATGCCAGTGCCTCGTGGAAGGTGAACTGCTCCAGGCGTGTGGCAAAAAACACCTCCCCTAGGGACAGAGGCAAGTATCCATGTGATCATCTAGCCCTGCTCCCCAGGAGCAGAGATCCCCAGTGCTCCCAACCTACTGGCTGTGGCCGACATCTGTCACCAGCCCAGGGCAGTCACACTCTGTAGACCAAGCCCCTGGGTGCCTCTGGTGCCTTAGGTTCCAGGGCTTCCAGTGCTGTAAGAGGCAATGACCCAGCAGAGCTGCCTGAGCTGGGCACACTCCGAAGGACACGGCTTCTGCTTCCTCCACCACAGCTGGCCCCTCCCATCCCAGCAAGCTGAGTCTTACACTGTCTTCGCGGAGCCTTGTGACTGCTGTAGGCCAGCTCTCCCACCTTGTGGGCTCAGCAGGAGCAGGGCTGGGATGCAGGTTCCCGTGTGTGTGTGTGTGTGTGTGTGTGTGTGTGTGTGTGTGTGTCTGCTCCCAACTATTTAACAGCTGCTCATGCCAGGTCCTTCTCACAGGCATCTCCTTAATACGAAAAAAATGCTTCTAATGTGGTACATTTCACGGGTGAGTTACTGAACCCGGAGAAGTCAGGTGACATGCCTAGATTTCTGAAACAGCAGGTGGCAGCGCTGAAATTTTTCCACAGACCCAGCATTCCTCAAATTGTATTCAGTGGGATCATGATTTGATGATTTCCTTTCTTTTTGGAGATAGGTTCTCACCATGGAGTTCAGGCTGGCTTTGAACTCACTATGTAGTACAGACTGGCCTCAAACTCAGTGATCCTCCCTCCTGCCTTGGCCTCCAGGTGATGGGATTACAAGTATGGGCCATCAGGCCTCACCAGATGATTTTCATTGAAATTAAAAGACATGACAGAAAATAAAGGCCTGTGGTTGAATAAACTTGGGTTAGATGGAGGTAAAGAGATTTCTTACTGCAAGACTTCTCAGAGCCTTTCATTTGCTCATGGGCAATGGACTCTCTAAGAGCAGAGAGCATATGTGAATTTGTGGGTAATGGATTGATTTGAGTACCCACAGGACTCATGGCTTTGCAAGGAACTGAGGCTCTGTGCTGCTTGGGAGCCCTGGAGGGAGGGATGGGGGCTGGAGGTGTGGGGCTGGGTGGCCCTTCTTCCTTAAATTGCACCTTTGCTCTGGAAGGCGGTGAGGGAACAGGGCTGGGTGCTAATTCCCTTCCTCTTGTTCCCCCTCACCCCTGCCCATCTCGGGCTGGGAACGAGCCCATGACTTACCCTGGAGCTTGTCCACATAGCAGTAGACATCATAGGTTTCTGAGGATGGACGCACACCATAGGTCCTCACCCCTGGGCTGCTGTCCTTGTCACCCACACACGGTGTCCGTGGGCTCACAATGGGGTACCTGCAAAAGTGGGTGGGAGGGGAGGTTGAGTGCCCACTCTGGGGGTTTCAGGATGCAGGGAGGTGGGAAGGGCATGTCTGGTGGTATCTGATGAGATTCAAACCCAAAGAAGAAAGTGGGGGTGCTCCTGGTTTCAGAAGAGAGCCTGCTATCCAGAAGGGCCCTGGGTTGTGCTGGAGGGCCTGGGGGTTATGGGAGGGGTTTTCTAAAGCAGGGGCCTCTTCTGCGTATCTTCTGAGGCAAAATGACCTAAAATTTAATCCAGTGTTCTTCACTGACCTTTCAGACTAGGCTGTGTTCTACGGGGACATCTAGGGAGAAGCTACAGAGTCACTCATGAGCCGATTGGTCCGCAAGGTGCTAGGTGTCGCACCCTACCGGGGCTCCTTCAACCTGGTCCCTGGAGGTGGGGGTGGGGGTGGCCCTTTACCTGACGGTCTGGTCCTGCAGCCAGCCAGCGTCGCACTGCTCGTAGCCTGCCTCGTACGCAGCCTGCAGCTGCTCTGGGGAGGCCATGACGGCGCCTGCGCTAAGGCAGGCCTGTTGCGCCTGCTCGAAGGTCAGCGAGTAGCGGGTGGAGCCAGGCCGGTAGTGAAACACGACCCCTGGGGGGGGCACAGAGGGGAGAGGAGCCAAGGTCACTCCCAGCTGCCCATGCACCACTCTGAACCCAGCCCCTCCCTCCTGACGTATTGGATTTATCTGGGCAGTTTGGCTGAAATCACATGCGGGGCACTGAGGGTGGGAGGTCAGATGGTAGTGTTCATGGGCTCCTCCCCTGGGAAGACAGTGAGGAGGCCACACCAGAATGTCCCTCCTGTTCATGGGCTTGAGCTTGGGGAACATCCATGTGATACCCCAGATCTCCAGACAATTCCTGAGCACAAGGCCCAAGGCACCCCCTCCACAAGACAGGGCCACATGGTAACTGTTTCAGGCTTTTGAGGCCATACAGCTTCGGTCATCACCCCTCTACTCCAGTTCAATCACCCTAAGTCAGCCTCAGACAACCCATCAACAAACAGGGGATGGCTCGTTCCAAACAAATTTTATTTGTGGACACTGACATTTGAATTTCGTTTACTTTTCAGGATGTAAAATCCTCACTCAGTTCACAGCCATACTGGACATCTGGGTTTGGCCCACTGACTACAGTTCGCTGATCTTTGCCCTGGCAGGGAGGATGGGCAGGGAAAGGCCTCAGGGGTCCCTCAGGTTTTAAGTAGGGCCACTTTGGGGCAGCGCCTGATGGGGCAAGGAGGCTCAGACAGGAGAAGCCCTGGATCTCCCCTCTACTTACATCTGTGATGCTTTTATTTGCTTGACTTTTAAGGGGTGGTCAAAACATATGGTGAATGGTTAAGTGGAAAGAAATGTGTTCTAGTAAAGGACACACTGCCATCAATCCCCTCCAAACACTCCTCCCCCTCGCTTCAAATGCACTTATCCCACCATCTTGCTACTGTCTGGAGCAGCTCTGGAAGCCCTCTTTCCTGAGTGTCTTTATCAACAGTGATGAAAAATTTGGTAAATGCTGCTGCCGCATGCCATCCAACAGAAAGGCAGGCTCCTAAGAGCATTATGGTGTGTCTTCTCCACTGGATTGAGTACTGTTCAACTTCTGTTTCTTCCCCAAAGTCAAAATGACTATGAAAGGTAGGAATCAAATGGAATCAAATGAGGACACTGAGGAAACCATGACAGTACCACTACAGGCACTCAGGAAAGGAACTCCAGACCTGCTTCACAAAGAGGCAGGAGAGCTGGGGAGATGGCTCAATAGAATAAGTACTTGCCTGGTAAGCCCCGGGGCCTGAGTTCAATCCCTGGTTCCACCACCACCACAAAAAAAAAAAAAAAAAAGAAAAAGAAAAAAAGAAAAGAAAGTGCCAGTCATGATGGCATGAGAGTGCCTGAATTAATGGGGAGAATTTGAGGGGGTTAATGAAGCGAGGTATCTTTACTGTGATAAAATCTTAAAATATTTCACGATTCACAGTATAGTTCAGTCACATCGCACATGTCCTGGTCTCCACAGAGGAGTTCATTGGAGATTAATGGTTTGTGGCAAAAAAGTAGACATGACTGACCTGGGCTGCCCTTAACCATGAAACTCTCTTCCACCCCCAGGTTCCAAGAGCCATGCTCAGGCCTGGCAGGTGGGAGCGAGTGGCAGGACAGATGGCTGTGGCTGAGGGCGGGCCCCAAGTGCATATATGTCAAAGATACATTTCTGTCTTTCACAGGCAGGAAAGAAAAGCTGAGGGGAGGATGAGCTGGACCTAGGCCCAGGTGAAGCTGCAAACAGAGCCAGATGGCTCCTGACCTCAAGGTACCCCATCAGGAGTGGGTACTTACCACCTGGCAGATGGGGCCGCCCAGGGACCTCAGCTGCCCCTGGGGCAATGGTCACTGGCACAACCAGGTCCTCACTGGTGTAGGCCGTAGGGCGCAATTGTTCTGGAAAGCCCCAGGGCCTGGTGATTGCTTCAGTCTCATTCTCGGCCTCAGGGAAGGCTGTGACCGCCATGTCAGGGGCAAATGTGAAGGACTCCCCAGGCTCCAGGTCAGTGGGGGAGACCCCGAAGATGGGCTTCACTGTGAGGATCACATTGCCACGAGCTTCCCCCTCTGTGATGTTTCGGGGCAGAGGCAGCTCCATATCGGGCCAGGTCACAGTCTGGATGGTGATGTCCTCCTCACCACCCACACTGAAGAAATTTTCTGGGATGTCCACAAAGTCTTCACCTGGAGCAGGGCACAAAGGCAAGGCTTGGACCATTCCACCACACCTCCTTCCCCCCTGGGCCTCTGGGCACTTGGCCAAACCTGCATGTGCCCTCAGCTGTCTGACCAGAGTTGCCTTCTGGTATCACAGGGACAGATTTCAGAGCCCCAAATGGTCAACAAAACCTTCAGAGATGCTCAAGTCCCTTACATAAAAGGGTACTATTTACCCAGAACCCACCACAACCCTCTTGTGTCCTTGATCTAAAAGATCATCTCTTTTAGATTGTTTACACACTTAATACTGTGATGTCAGTGGTGTTGTGTTGTTTAAGGAATAATAGCAAGGAAAAAGGTCTCTACAGCCCCACTTCAGGTGCAGTCCCCCCTCACCAAGTATTTTCAAACTGGGATTGGTTGAATGTTCAGACACTTGTAAAATATCAGCCAATCAGCATATTGTTTACAAAATCAGCCCCCAGCCTGCAGCCCACATCACCCACCTTAGGAGTACCCCCTCCCCCGTTGTCCAGTGGAACAGTATAAGTGAGTTATAAAAATAAATTGTCAAATTTTGCAAAAGCAACAGTTTGGGAAATGGATAAAGATGACATCGGAAACCCGCCAGCCTCGTAATCTTGGATAAATGAGAGGGGCTGGCTGAAATAGGCCAGTTAAATAATAAAGAGGAAATGCAGGAGGTAATCCTGAAGTATGGCCAGAAGATTAGAAGTTTAAGAGATGCCATGGAGGGGAGGAATCCTAGGTTGTTTTTTTTTTTCCTTCAAAATTAACTGTTTGGGTAATATCACTCTGCAACTGAAACAGGAAGCAGGGCCAGCCAAATAGCTCAGCAGATTAAAGCGCCTGCAAGCAGGCACAGGGACCAGGGCTTCAATCCCCGGGCCTGCAGTGTTCGCCTCGCCCCAGGGGCGTGCTGAGATGGCATTTGAGAGTGGGCATGGTGGCGCACGCCTGTAATCCCAGCTCTTAGGCTGTAAACAGGAGGATCGCTATGAGTGTGATCTAGTAGTGAGACCCTGAGCACCCTGTAGACCCTTCTCTAAAATACAAAAAAAGTGAAACTGAAGCTATCTGTCATTATTGCCAATTCTGTTGAAAAAGTCATAAAATTCAACATCTATGTTCAATTTTTCTTCAAAAGTAAGCACTTCTTATCTAATGTATACAAAATATAAGAAAAAATTAGTTTTGAAAATTTATTCTACTCTTTCACGATAAAGCCCCTAACTTTCTCTGTTCCGTATGTCCTCTATTTAACTCAATGTATTTATTTTCAATTTTTTTACTTACTAGTAGCATAGGTAAGAATCTTCACATGGAGCTACAGTCTCAGCCCTTTATTTTAAATTTTGAGATAGGGTCTTGCTAAGTTGTTGAATTGCTGAGGCTGGCTGGAATTTGATTGTCCTGCCTCAGCCTCCCAGAGAGCTGAGATTACAAACATAGGTCCCAGTGGTGGTTGACTTCATTCAACATTAAATGGCAGCTAACAGTGCTTTCTAAAGGGCTCATGGTCTCGCAGCGGCCACCATCTTCCACGGGGTAACGCTTTGTCAGTACACAGACAGGGACAGTAGGGCTCAGAGCCTCAACTTCGCAAGGGGGCATGGTTGGAGGGGGCAGAACTGACTCAAGCCTGAGAATAGACTCCAAAGTGCAAAAATAGGGTGCAAGTTTGATACAACATAGGCTTCAGGTATCCTCAGGCCCCTTGAAGGGGCAAATGAACCCCAGCTTCCCTCTCCAAGGCCTTCTCTTCCTCTGGCTCCTGGTGTCAGAGGTAAGCGCCTTCCTCCCCGGCTCCAGCCCTACCTGTGTAGCAGATGGCGTCGTAGCGGGATGAGGGGTCGGGGTACCCGGTCTGGTTGGCATGCAGGTAGACGGTCCTCACGCCCAGGAGGTTGCCCCCGCAGTTGGGCCGGGCTTTGGAGATGGGGTAGCGCACGCTTCGGTCGGCCAGCCAGCCGGCGCTGCACATGTCCATGCCACGCTGCCAGGCCAGGTAGAGCTGGCCGGTGGTGGCCAGACGCGCGCCCAGCCGTCGGCACTCGCTGGCGGCCTCCTGGAAGGTGAACTTCTCCGGGGACGTCGCATAGAAGACCTCACCTGGGCAGGACACGGGTGCCTGGTGAAGCCTCCCTCCCTCCTTCCCTGGCCTGCCTCCCCCAGGGACCCGCATCTTTCCTCCGGGTTGGAGCCCACAAGTCTGTATCTCAGCTCCTGCCTTTCCTCTCCTGTCTCCATCTATTTCTGGCCTTTTGGGACAGGAGGACACTAATGTCCTAAAACAGGAGAACCAAGAGAGCAGCAGCGCAAATGGCAACGCATAGAACAAATGTGAAATTCTAGAGGAAAATGCGGCTGAAAACCTGTGACCCAGCCGCTTGCTGCGCAGCCGTCCACCACTAGGGGCGCCTTCCTGCGAGTCAAGGTGTTGCTGGTTCAGCGCAATCTGTAACATTCTAATTCCAATGGGAGAAAAGGGCTTTGAAGGCACAGGGTACCAGATGGTCAGAAAGACCAGGGTCCCGGCTGGGTGGGCAATGCCAGTTGATCCCTCGAGAGGGACTTTTGGGCTCAGTAGTGGTATTAGACAAGTTTGCAGACGTTTGGGGTCGCTGAGGCCCTTGTCCTGGTGGACAGAGAAGGGTCCAGACTGTAGCACCCCAAAGTCCCTTATGGCAGAGGAGGATTTGGGTGGGGCAGCCTCACCCTCCATCTCCTCGGCGAAGCAGTACACGTCATAGGTCTCGTTGGTGTCCCGGATGCCGTAGGTTCTCACCCCTGGAAACTCGTCCTTATCTCCATAGCAACCTTCCCGGGGAGTGTGGATGGGGTACCTGTCAGGGATCCGAAGTGGACTTTGACCTT